TAGTAGTAGTAGTCGTAGTAGTAGAATGAAGTAGTAGAAGTAGTAGCCGTAGTTGTAGCAGCCATAGTAATGCTCACTAGAAGTTGTGGACATTGAGCAAGGTATCCGTCTATCTGTTGCCTTCCAGACACACGGAAAGTTATCAGATTCATCAAGAAGGGATCACTACGTGGGACACTCGCCGTGCTCTTGCATGAGAGTAGGGTGTGGCCAGATCTCGACAACATTTTTTGTTGGGCTTCGTGCTGCTGTGATCATAGTTATTTGTCAAGCATCTTTACTCTGTTCCAGGTGCAACTCAAGAATGTCTTGCCCCATGTCTGTAATCGTCTGTGCACTAGCCGAGTCCAATCCCGGCCCAGCGGATATCACGGCTAAGCAATGCCGATTCCCTTTGATGAGTTTTCTTCCGAACAAGATCCCCAATGGATCAGGCTGGGTCGTGTCTACAAGGCACGGCATGTACATTCTGCCACCTTCCCCACACCCGTGAACGCAAGCAGCCTGGCGGCATTTGGCATGGCACGGGGGGAGGGTGATGAGCTGTATGAGATAGTCTTTGATCATCGGCTGGCAAGCAGAGGGGAGATTGCTTCCTGGTGTGGGAGGAGGGATTTGGAAGTCAGACGCATCAGCCTGTACTATACTCCCTCTTGCCTCTCCCATCTACCTGTCTGATGTCATCGGTCTCTGCGATGAGGCGAGAGACACTACGAAACCAAGGGCGACCGGCCCCTAAGGCTTGACAAGTGGCACCGTGGTCTCCTCCACCAAATTGACAAGGCTGGCGGCCTTGTTGTGTTATCAGCCGACAGCCGCTGAGCAAGTTTCCATCCAGTCCGTTCAACCTCAACGGCATTGTGCTTGCCTCGAGATTTTTCCCTGGAATGTCATTGCAGATTCCATTCTGCTGACAAGGGCGTAACACTTGCATTTTGCCGATATCGGTCATCCTACTTCCATTTGCGTTGCAATGTCTTCTGCTGCAGTCGTCGTAGTTGCTGTGGCTCTTGCTGCGGCGGCGGCTGCTGCTGCTGCAGCAGTACTTTGTGTGACTCGCAAGCCCCGTGCTCGCACGTGCAGGCACTCACCCACACATGCAGAGACAAGATGCAGACATGAAAGGGCCTGGAGGAGGTTGTCAGAGTTCTTCGCGTGAAATAGGCCCACACGGTTTCGGACCTGCACGAGCACAATTTGTGGAAGATCCGTCGTGGTGACCTTGCAGCCTTTGCGTGTCGAGCCGTGGTTCAGCAAGCTGTGAGACACGCGTATAGACATGGAATTGCTAAATGTATAGCTGCGTACATTCATTCACCACATACACTCATGCAGTTGCATGCGCACGTGCATTCGCACATTCCGGCATTCACCCCATCGCAGCGGAAGCGGGAAGCGTGAGATTTAGATGCAACCATTGCCTGCATGGAGGGTGGCATCGGAAAGTAATTAGGGTTTAGGGTTTAGGGATCCTAAACCCTAAACCCTAAAGGCTTTCGCAACTTGATCCGTGCACCCCGACGCCGAAGCCTCAAGCAAACATCTTCCACACGTAGATCCCAAGCCCCAACCGAACGAAATCTGGATCGACCTTGTCAGACCGATTATCTCCGCCTGCTGCAACAGGCCTCGTGAGAGAGCGGATCAAGGGTCTCAGTTCGTGGGTTTGGGGGCCTACGGAAGTTTTAGATTTTAGAGTGTCGAGGACCGGAAGTGCCCGTGTGTGTGCCTCGAGCGGTTCCAGGCTCCTCCCGAGGTCTCCCTGAGCAGAGTGAAGAGACTGTCCACGAACCCTGTGCACTACGCTACACTTCTTTTCTCTCTAATAGTACAATGTGCTAGATGTATGTCTAGTACATTTATAATTGAGTTTCACACTTTGCCAACAACGACGTACAGGGTGGTAGGACGCCAGCCATGTACTGTTATGTAGAAAGCTTTCTGCCCTCCTGCACTGCAGACCCCAGGTGATCTGGAAGAAGTCTACATCACTATCTTTTCCACGCAAGCAGGCTGGACTTGTTTCATGCCACCATGCTCCTGCAAAACACGCGCTGTCTAAAGAAGAGGTGACAAAGAAACAGTTTTTGCTGTGGACTATCATGGAAAACGACGGAGGGACCTCCTGCCGGTCTTTATGCTTGAAGGAGCTCATTGATGTCCTCGAGCACGAGATTGAGGCAAGAGCACATTCCGGTGTTCGGGGCAATGTAATCCAGATCAATCCAGGAGCTGCTCGGGTTTGGTCCACAGCTGTTTCGCTTCAGGCCTGACGCACAATCCGAAGGCGTCCGAAACCCTAAATGGCATTCGAAGCAAATCGCACGAGGCAATTGAGACATTGGCGTTCTGTTGCCGCAAGACATTCTCACGGTGCTGAGCCCACCATGCCTGAGAGGTCGCTGAGATGGACCGGAGGTCTCGTGCCCCCCGGACATATGGTAGCACTCCAATGCGAGACTTTGTCGTCGAGTGTATAGGTATAAGTCTGCACCACTCTTTCCGCTTCGGCACTGCAGAAGGTAAACGGCAAAATGTCACATGTCACAATTTTGCGGGCGTGACGAAATTTTGAACCCCCGGCCTCGTCTTGGACCCACATCATGCCAGCGAATGCAGCTAGTAGTATGTGGAAGGCCAGCACACCTATTGTAAATAATAGCATGAAGCAACGCATTACTGTAGTCAAGCTGAGACACAGTATTGTAATTCATACTGTAGCAAGATACCAAGTCTTATTGATGAGGTACGTATTACTGCGATGGCATTGCAAGGGCACAAGACTGTATGCGTGCGAATGATTAGCAAGTTAGCAGAATGCGCGATGAAATACCGTTCTATGTTTCAATGTCATATGTCTCTTGCTGTGTCTACGTGCGCAGATACCATGATTTGCTGGCCCACGTGATTAAAAGCGTTTTCAGATGTCTACATGTACGTGTTTATGCAGTACGGATATGTGCCTGCGTACGTATACGTCTGCATGTTCCCACGTGTCTCAGTGGAATGGCTTTTCTACCCTAAACGTGTGTGATTATTTGTTTTAGCATTGCTTTTTGCAAGCTGTCTGAGCAATTGTCTGGTTGTTGTAGACTACACTCAGCCCCCTTGGCCTGATCGGGGCAGTCGGTCCGGGTGTGCGTTGCAGGCGACAGCAAACCCGACCAACACCAGAGCCAGGTCAAGGTTGGAAGTATCTCCAACAACCAGGCTTGGAGGATTGGCTGAGGACTCGTAACACCAAGACATGTCTCAATCCGAGGTCAGGAGTCGAAGTGCTACACGGGCAGAACGGTCGACTGTGGTAAGGCGCTTGTCTTGCATGTCGCTGGGAGCTTTGGTCTCGATCGCAGCACGCGAGTGTCCCTTGCCTGATTTATGGCTTTGGAGCATATTCTGGGGCTTCGATTTCGATGGAGGAATGTATGTAGGATTGCTTCCAGGTTTTAACATGTCGTATAGTATAGAGAGCCTGCGCAGTTCCAGCACACCATCAAACCGCTGTCTTGATGGGAGAATAGGAGAGCTGGCACTTTTTTTGACTTCCAGCGGCGTCATGCATTCCAAGTTCGGGGGTCAGCAGAGGTTACCCAAGTCTTGTTTCGAGTCATTTCGGAGTTGCGGATCTTGCAGAGCGAGTTGTGTTGTGAGAATTCCTTCTGCGGCCTCAGCATCTGTGAAAGGTTGCACCCTGTGTTCTTGCCACGAGGATGTATGCGGCCTGTGCTTATCTCACAGCAGGAGACCGCAAGTGCTGGAATGGCGCTTCGCCAACCAGATCGGTCAAAGGTAGAGCTACTGCGTGTTCCCCATGCAGCCGAGGCCAGCCAGCAACCCAAGACGCCCTGTGGCAGATTCTGGACGAGGTTCGATATCGCACGCAAACTGGGAAGAGCACAGCCTAGAGATGCCTAGGGCCGAGAATCTCTTGCGAAGCATTGTAGTCTACTGCCCGCGTTTGAACTCAGTACATCGTCACTGGCCTGTAGCTGCCAAAGTGCAGGCTGAACATACTTTGCTCAAGGTGTCCGCAGGAAGATTTGTGAACCACATGATATCGAGGGGCAGAACGTTCGGCTCGTCTCAGCTGTGAGTGACACCACGAGCAGCATGCGCACATGCCACTTTTGGGGTCCTGCGTGAAGGCAGTGTGAACTCCACAAGCTTTGAACATTGATTCGCATAAATCAGGAGGAAGCCCCGACAAGTGGTAGGGCACGAGGATAAGGAGTTCGAGCTTACTGGGAGTCCCTGTACCGATTACATGCTTCTGGTACCTCGTAGACTCCGAGAACACCAAACTGACCCCGCAGCCTGGGGCATGTGGCGAGTTCGACCCCTGAAGTGGTGCGCTGTTATTTCAAGCGCTAGGAGTATACATAGTGGGACACAAGCTAGCATTTTCCGCCGTGCTAGGGGTTTTGGCTTCGTTGTTAAGCTGCCACCGGTCCAAGGAAGTCGAGATTCGGGGTTGCAGCTCGGGCACTTCATCATGCGAAGCTCAGCGGTTTCTGCCGAGATAGAAAGCTTTTCAGAAAACTCTGAGAGTATCCAGCCCGCTTTGGGTGAAGTCGGGATTGGTGGAATGCTCACGCAGCACATTCAGGTGTTCCGACGACACATCTCCAGGCATGTAAGAACCTTACAGCAGCACTTCATATTAATATGGAAGCACTCAATGGGAGAATGACTCCATTTTGTAGGGTTGCCGGAAAAGTACCATGTTATAGCTGTACTTTTGCAGTGTGGTGGGACCAGCCACAGATGAAATCCTTGACTCACAGAACAGGCAGAAACTGCCACGAAGTAACGCGCTGCTGACCGGAAGTAGGGAATGAATGTGGTATAACGTTGAATGCCTGTAGCCCACATCCTCAGCTCGGCACACTAGAGCCGGAGTTCGGAGGGTCCAGAGGATCCCCGTTCTCCGACTTTGCGCTTCCTTGTGAGCGACCCGATCCGCTGTGGAGTTATCCTCCACGCTGCGGATGCCATCGGCCTTTCTGCAACCCCAACTCCGAGAGACCTCGTGCACGAACACTGCAGATGCCTAGAAGCAGCCGCCCTGCAG